CCGGTATTTCAAGCTGTTCGGAGGGGTGAATGAACTCACCTGGCAGTGGAAGAGGCATGCCGTATACCAGCTCAGCAGCGCTTCATCCGATATCGGCTTTGAAAGCGCCTCTAATGTTCAGTAGGACAAGAGGCAAAATTTCAGTCCATCCCGAAGCCGACCCACTAGCCTTTAGGGATGTTTTGAGCAGGCAATGAAATCTCTCTACTAGTCCATTGGATGTAGGGTGATAGGCAGTGGTAGTGATGTGAGAGAAACCAAGAAGCTGAGACAACTTTCTGAAAAGAGCTGACTGAAATTCTCGTCCTCGATCTGTCGTTCCCGTTGCTGGTACCCCAAACCGGCTGATCCACAAGTGTACAAATGCGTGTGAGACTGTTTCTGCCAAGATATTTTCGATTGGTATGAGCTCTGGCCACCGAGTAAACGCTCAAACCTTGTTGGCGTTACTCAGTAGTGGAACTATTGGGGGACAGGGTTGAGACCTTGTGCCGGAGCCACGCGGGAGGAAGTCCCGATTTTCCTCTGCCCCCAACTGTGCTACTTAGTCATGCGTAATTTAATTTTACCTAGATAATTTCCACCAATCTTCTGATCTCCTTTTTGTGACCGTAAAGGCCCGTTCACACTCTTGCGACAGAGTAAGACCGAGAGAGACTAGACCGGTTCTTAAGCCTCTTGCGATCTCTTAGGACAAGCTCCGCTGCAACGCATCCGGTCCTAAGAAGTCGCAAAATGCTTAAAAACCGGTCTGGTCTCTCCCGGTCCTATACTCGGTCGCAAGAGTGTGAACGGGCCTTTAACCTTTTCTCTTCCGTCCTTCCATCGCCACCAGCAATACCCAGGTCCCTGGCCAAATCTGTTACCCCTTCTGGGAAGGCAGGGCGAAGCCGCGTGCACTTGAGAACCAAGTGATCTAGTGTCTGGCTCTCATTATGGCAGACAGCAAATAATGTATCTCTTTTCTTAAAATTTAGCCATATGCGTCCTCGTTTTGAAAACTCGAGTTCTCGCCTCAAACAGTATATAACATACCAGTGAATTGTCAAATACATTTTCTTCTCTAATGTATTGTTTACGTGTCCTGGACATTGTTAGAGCTACTTTTTTCTGCATTATTACCTCCAACATTCTTATTTCTGCCTCTTTCACTCCCTTTTCCACTGAAGTAGCCTGCTCAGCCCTATCACTGGTGTGCTGTAGGTATTTAAACCTAAGTTTTCGGGTTGGGATTGCCCATTTTGTCTTTAAACGTTTCATGTGTAAATATAGGCATATTAAAAAGATTCCTCTTCTTACTGCAATAGTTATCGCAACTGCCTCTTATATACAGTTGTATCGTAATAAGGCAATATTAAACAACGTCATTTAATTTGAAAGAGTGAAACCAGAAAGTATTGTTAAATATTTTAAAGCTTCTTCGCTTCATGACATTTTGTATTTAGGTCTTACCTCCTTCGAGTTGCATTAGTTGGGCTCTTGCTATTTTACTAAACATGCAATATATCAATTTTAAAATGTGAGTCGCACATGGAACCCTCTTCTTATAATTAGATATATAAAATACACATCGTTAAACAGGATAAGAAAGCATCACCCACTTTCTTAAAACAACGTCCGTATCAATAGCCTTTTTTAAGCAACGCTGTGGGCGGGATCCAGAATCCAGCTTAGATTCCGACTTGTAATTCTTTGTGAATGAGAACTTTACTTCAGTTTTATTGAAATATTGAAGACTCTTTGCTCATATACCAGTATAAAAGCATCTTACTTCTGGTTAGGATAGGTTGTTCGAAACCAAAATGTGACTTTAAACAAACCGAAACAAAATATTTCTCAAAATGGTATCAATTAGTTATCAGTTTATTGTTTCCTAACATGTTAGGTAATATACGAAAAACCTCCTGCACTACTGAGCTGAAAGAGCTTGCTTTAAATTCCAAACTCGAACTCCACTGAATAATTTGCGCCGGGGTGAGGCGTATAGTTGTGGTTAAAAGACAGATCTAAATGTTTCTAATTTCATTGCCAAGTACTGAATTCGGTCGATGCGAATATTTTAATTATCTATAGAGCGATTTTAACCAGAGACTCAAACTGAGAACAATACCTGAGCGGTTCTGGTTATCGCTACCGTTCAAATAGTGAAACTGACTTCGTTTCGCTTTCAGGGTGTGTTTCGGTTTTCGATATTTGCTTACCAGTCGATCGTTTTACAGGAAAGCACTAAGTTTAAGTTTGAGTAAAAGGGAGAAATTGGTTTTCAAATTTTGCTCGTTAATGAAAAGACAGTTTTCATCCGAACACATTATACTCTCAAAAATATGTTTCTTGCAGCAGAAAGCGCTGTCTGTATTAATGCTCCCAAGGCCGAATCAACTAGGTTCAAACTGAATATTTGTCTCGGTGTAATTGCCAAAATGTTGCTTGCCATATGGCTTTAGTAACTTTTGTGCCATTAAACCCAGTAAATGCAGCTAGTGTAGTAGGCTGGTGAAAATATCGAAAATAAAACGTCGCAAAAAGCAAAAAAAAAAAAAAAAGAAAAAGGAAAAGTCGAGGTATTTTGAAGTTTAGTTTTGGATGACAAATCAGTTTAGAAAATGAAGTTAACCCACAATCTTGACCGAGGAAAGTATCAATAATATTGTGTAACTATCATAGATTATAATTCGTATGTGCCAATTACTATGTAAGGTTTAATGTTTGACGGAACCGTTCACTCGAACCCTAAAAAATGCAATCACTGATAAAAAAAAAGAAAAAAAAATTTACAGCGATTTAAGAAGGTGACCTCCCTGCAGTTAAGGAGAGAATGCATTTGAAAAAGACTGGCAGATGGCAGACGTAATACAAAGCAATATGAACTCAAAATAAATTAAACTACACAAAAAGTTCTAGGCAAAAGAGGTTTCTCCAATGGGACTCAGATGGGATTAGACTAAGAGACGCGTCGCATACCATATAGTATTTATAAGTAATGTATTTACTGGCAGTCATGACACGGAATGTAAAAAAATGTCGTTAATGTTATTCGCTCAATAAGCTTGTTTAATCTAAATTATGTCCATTTTGTCGAGTTTTAGGAATAAAAGCAGATGAAAAACGGAGATTCAAATCGCCTCTTCATATCCGAAATATATACTTCACCGTAAATCAATATAGTTTGTGCACAAACCGTGTTTAATTAAACGCCCAGGACTAGTACCAACCTTCTATGGTCTGTGTTTATTATTGAAACTAATATGATTTCAATATATGTTGCTATATAAATATGCAACTTGGAAACACCTGAAGTTTTTTAATATGTTACTGAAGTTCACCCTAACGCTACAGTAGGAATGTTTGCGGAACAGCCCTTGCTGCGCAGAGTCAGTCTTACTAATGAGGGAACCTAAACGTGATAGTTAACGCCGTAAATAGACGTTACGTTTTGTTTTTGTTTTTCAAAATTGCGTTATTTAAGCTATCCATTCCTGTAACGCGCCTTTGTGTGTACGGTGTTTTCGAAATACAGGGTGAAACAAGGAGACGGCAGGCTCTTTAAATCGACTGGAAAATTCGGTTTCTTAACCTATCGCGCTACGACTTTGTGCAGCGTTGCCCACAGATGGTGCATTTTTTTTTTGTAAAACTTGCGAAGAGCGAACTTACCTGAGGAAAAGTAAAGAAAGAAAAACGCTTAGCTCCTATGGAAACGCAGCGACGCCACCGGTCTGCAAACAACACGGCGCCGTTTCGCACGGGAGAGAAGAGATGGCGCAACAAACGCCGCCAACGAACGAGCATACGGCGCCGAGAGCAGGCCTTTTTAGCAGACGATCTTTTCGACTCAAAAGCGGCGCGCGTTCTACAGGCGGCGACAGTCGCAGAAACAAAAAAGACAGGCGCGGTAACAGCAAGGAACTGCAGTTCCTTGTCTGCAAAAGGGCCGGCTCTCGGTGTCGTCTGCTCGTTCGTTGGCGGCAGTTGGTCGCGACCGCTTGCGCCATCTCTTGTCTCCCATGCGAAACGGCGCCGTGTTGTTTGCAAACCGGTGGCGTCGCTTCGTTTCTATAGGAGCTAAGCCTTTTTCTTTCTTTACTTTTTCCTCAGGTAAGTTCGCTCTTCGCAAATTTTACAAAAAAAAAAAAAAAAAAAATGCACCATCTGTGGGCAACGCTGCACAAAGTCGTAGCACGATAGGTTAAGAAACCGAACTTTCCGGTCGATTTAAAGAGCCTGCCGTCTCCTTGTTTCACCCTATAGACAAATGCAAACACAATATAAATTCCGCCATTGAGTAGCTCCCACGTATCATGAGACGTGGTCTAGAAAGACAAAACTCAGCTCTAGAGGTATATTATAATTTAAGTGGAAGCCATACCACCCGGAGGTGGGCCTTGAATAAAGGAGAGTAGTAAGAAACCTCGTTCCGTGCTTCTACGATGATTGAGATAGATAAATCATAGGGGACCTCATCTGGAGTGTCTATAAGAAAAAAGAGAAGAATGGTTTGGCAACCACCTGTATCAAAAACACGAAAGGAAGTAAGCCGTATTTGACTAGAATGGCTAAGTGTGCTTGAACCCTCTTGTACTGCACGATAGCTTTAGACAAGGAATCTCAAAGAGAGGAATAGAACATATACTTTACGTGTAATTTATTTATGGTCCAAGAGTCAAGTAATATACCTTATGAACTGTTCCATTCCTAACGCTTTTTTTCCTGTAAACTTAAGCACTTTTTGCGCCATACTGAAAATATTCAGAAAAGTCGTATTCATATCAGCCGCTATTTAGACCTCAGTTTTATCAATAAAAAGGATTCAATATATAGTGTATTCCACACAGTAAAACGTAAGAACAGTTTCTAGGATTTCTAAACGACAAAAAGTGTTAGTTTGGGAGGGCAGTCTTGACCGGAGACCAAAAACAGTAACTGCACACAAGTTACTAACTGGTCACGGGGCATTAACATACCAAACTAAAGGGCTTGCAAATAATACGATAAAGAAATAAATGGGTTTCGAAGCAGCTGCGTTATTGTTGTCACAGAATAACCCAAAAAAAGATTCTGCATTTTTAGATATTTATTTGTTTAGTTTCGAGAACTTCCTTTATGATAATGTTTCCACGCTTTCAAGACTTCGGAAGCAGCTGCGTTATTGTTGCCACAAAATAAAAACAAAATTCTGCAATTTTGGACATTCATTTGTTTAGCTTACAAAAACTTCCTTTATGATAATATTTCCACACTTTCAAAACGTACAAATGTGGTTAGGCCAACTGGGGAAAGTAAAATTAAAAAGGGCTGGAAACAAAAGTAAATGTTTTAGGCGTTATGAGCTTTACTTCAGAGGGCGACATTGGACCTGTTTGTGAGTTCCCTTGGTTTGCCTTAGCTTACGACCAAATGTGGCGCCGAACCAGCGGATAGTAGTAATTGAATGGGATATTTAATTATTCAAAGCGAAATTTAGATATCCATTTACTTAGTTTATTTGCAATAAAATCTGTAGCTCGTTCAGTTATTTGTATTTGCAGTGCACGCTGTTCACGAGAACTTTGCTGATAGCATTTCTGCACGAGATCTTCAAGATAGCTATAGAGCCCGCCAAGGACACGCTGCCTAGATAATGACGACCAGATTGAAACGACGGTTGTGGGCAGGGTTTGATCAACACCACCTAGACAAATTCAAAGCCTCAGCGAACGTAACTAGATTAGCTCTGTTACGGAACTGCCCATATGCCTCCTGCTCCGAAGCTTTGAACGAACTGTGGCGCCCTTGTTTTGGGTAGTACAAGTTCACCTGATTGGGCCTCGCACTAGTGATGGCACGTTGAGTGAGCTTTTTTCTTGCTGCGGGGTGGGAGGGGGGGGGGGTAAAAATAGAAAAAACACTTTGGACGTCCGAAATCGTCTAGATTACACGCCGCAACACAATCAAATATGCCAGATTCTTGCCACCACCGCTACTGTACGCATCTCGTATCTCTGAGTGGTGACGTCTGAAAACTGGTGTCCTGACGCTTTGTTCTTTTTTTTTTTTTCCTTTTTATTTTAGAAGGTGTCAAAACGGCGTCTCTCAGGACACGATCTTAGCGCCTTAGCTTTGACCTCTGCTTTAACGACATAGAGTTATTAAAATGTACGCTAGAGGTTCAACTGGCGCTAATGGGACTTCCGGGGAGCAAATTGAAGCAGACAGCAACCAGTCTCCGTATCCGGTGCTCCTGTGCATTCCTCTGGGGACACGCGCGCAATTTTGTCTTTTCGCCGAAAATTAACAGAGATAACTTTTGTAATTCGGGTCGTACCGAATAGTATGTACCTTTGTTAACTTTGTAAAAATGTAATTGCTTTAGCCACAACTTTTTTCTTTACCACTGAACAATGTTAAACGCCGCTATATTTCAGGCTCGAGCCTCTGTTCATATGTAAGAACGAGCGACGATTGTAAGCAACATAACAATCGAAAGGAATGTAGAGTGTCGAGAAGGTTCGCCAGCATTCCGGTGCTACAAAGTACGACAAATATTTTAGGAAACCACGCACTGGCAACGTTCACCCCCGCCAAAACTAAAAGTATGAAGAAAAAAAGATGGATTCGGCAGAAATATTTGGAAATTTAACGTTAAAGGCCGACGTACACTATCGCTTTCCACTAGTGCCCCTTTTCTTTTCCTGCATCTTCTCTCCTTTCTAACTATCCCAAACACCCCTAACGCTGCTCACCTCGTAGCTTAGGAGAGAAGGGGCCTTAGACTCGTCAAAGAAAAAAAAAAGCAAATTGGGTTGTGGGGATATTTATACAGCGTGTAGTTGGTCTGCCATTAAAGTTGCGACGAGTCACACGCTGTAGATGAGCAATTTAGACAGTGCAGCACAACCGCTAGCCTGGTGTTTTTAACGTGCACCACGCAGTAGTGATACACGACCGCACGCCGGTACGATGCTCATCGAGATCGAAACGGGCAGGAGTGGGGCTCGAACCCAGAATCCCTGGGTTCTGCAGCGCGAGCTTTCGCTACACGCGCGTCGAGCTGGGTGTGCGCTTTAGCCCGCTCGGCCGCCGATACCCCGACTCGTCAAAGTCAAAGTTAGTGCCGCAAGTTCACGGAGCGCGCGAATAAGACGCCGGCGAAAAAAAAACCAAAAAAACGCGAAGTCATCGTCGGGATTTTTCAATCGGTGCGCTCCATGAACTTTGGCCCCAACTTTGTGTTTGGCGAGCATAGAGCCCAAGGACGCTAAAAGGCCTATCATCCCTGTAAAGAACCGAAGTTGTACAGGGCGCGACATTGTTAGCGCGAACAAGCGATCGCTGGTTTTTCCACTTTTTCTCTTTGAAACCAAGGGATGTCATACAAGTTATTATGGCTACGGAAAGAGCTCATCTATTTCTATAATGTAAGCGATAAAATTTCGTGCTCGCTAATACTATTTAGAAGTAATATGCGAAAATGTGCCAATGTCGTGTTTCGCGCTAACAGTGTCGCGATATGCACGTCTGCCTTTAATCTTCTCAACGCAGAAGTTTCTAATAAAAATACTGGAAACGCAATTGAAGAATAGGGCAAGCACGTATATTCTGTTTCCGGTTGAGTGATATGAGGCGAAAAGCACAAGAAAGGTTAGATGTAGTAGCTATACTTTTAAACCATTGTTAAACTTGTATAGATAAGTGAAAACATTACACAAAAAAGCAAAAATGGGCAATAGGTTATAAGTGTGTTATATTAGAACGACAGCGTCGTTCATTGTTCACAATTGTGAACAATGAACGACGCCAGAAAGAACTCTGAAACGTCCCCAGACGTGTTAAAGGGCTTTGTATTTCAATACAATTGTAACATGTTAGTGGAATATTTAATATACATGCCTAACTGTACACGCATTGCTCCGTCAAAATCATTTGCATAGATTTAGTTGGTATATAGTTGCAGCTGCTCAATACCATGTATTTAAGAAAGAGCCGTTATACACACTTGAAGATACTGAACTTAGCGGAGAAAGAGTGACATAATAAGAAGCTGAGTTACTTGCAGACAATTGCGAACTATTTGAGCGACCTGTAGTTAGATATTTGATTGCTAAGTTTAAAATTTGCGTATTCAATAGAATAAAATATAGTTGTAATTCGAAGTGGAGATCGGTTACGACATTAAAGGCCACGAATAGGTAAGCACCTGTCTGTATAGTTTGATTTTTAGGTATTCATATTACCAGGAATGCAACGAAACGTTCGAAGACCCTCAAGCACAGTAAGTTTTCTGCAAATATTTTATTTTGTTTCTTGAACTCTTAATAATAGAGATTATGTCCCTAAGATCTCTAAGAAGGTGAAAATAAATCTAGTAATTTATTACCTGCAGTTTGAAGACTTTCACTCAAATAATAAAATCCTTTTGCAACGTGTGAAAATTTATTTTGAGATATTTTTTCGGCTTTCAGGTTGCTGTCTTTTTATGAATGTCTCTCAAATATCTCCTACTTGAAATAGCTTGCAAATAACTGTGATTTGAAATCGAAGCAGTTACGGGATCTGGTGTATCACTTTTTGACATGCATAATAGCCTTTGTTATAAAAGATGCTGCCGCCAAGCTAATGCATAAATATGTTATATGCTCGGATTTTAACAATACCTAGAGGAATAATTTTTCTACAGGTGCTCGTTACCCACCAACCTGCCCATTGTCGCGCTTTCCGGCGGAAAAAAACAAAATAATTCAGACACTAGTTTCCAAGCGCAGCTGTCTGAGCTCAGACATTCACTGTAATCTTAAAGATCTTCCAGTCTTCGAGTTTGCTTTTCTTAAGTGGAAAAAAATCATGACTTTTTTTAAAAATCAAATAAATCAGATTTATTTTATTTAAATCCAATTAATTTTATTTAATTTACTTTATTCACAAAATAGCGCGTCTTAATCGCTAGATAAAATTTCAAACATGACATTGTTGGTTGTTTTTGGGCGCGTGAAAGTAAAGATTATTATTGTTAATATTATTATTATGCTCTTATTATTCTTATCATGCTGTAGGATCGAGTACTTCAGCTCTTTTGCAATACATGCTTGTGCTCATTTTCTAGTATACTCTATTTTCTGCTGGACGAGAACATCTACATTCTTCGCAGGTTCTTTGAAATTTGTCTTTTGCTGTAGTGTGAGTCTGGACTGCACATTTCAACTAGCGCTATCTTATTGTCTTGTGTTTGTGACTTTTTCATATTACTTTCTAGAACTTTCCTGTGAACACTGCAACAGTTAGGTTCTGTTCCACACGCCCTTGTTGGTTTTGAAGAACCTGCCTTCTGCGCTTTTGAAATAACCCTGAGTAAATAAATTTGTTGTTATTAATTAATATTAATATTTATTATTATTATTATTTTGAATGATAAATACGTCCGATCGCTGAAAACTATGCGGACGGATTGCTTTAAAATTTTCAGTAGAGTTTAAGTAATAACTTTTCATTTAGTAAACCCGCCATTGTGGATCAAGAACAGTTTTGTTCTTTTTTTTTTTCTTTATTTGTTTGGCGGGTTTTTTCCGCCCAGGGGGCAGAGATAATGGCGTGAAGCCTGACAAAGTCTTGCCCCCCCCAACAGTTCAACAGTAAACAGTACAATGAATATAATCAGCAAAAAGTATACTCAGTAGAAATTAAAAAAAGCACAGTGGAACAGGTATTTTAACATTCGACATTGTGACTTGTAAAAAAAAACAAAAAACGGCACAATCAAACAACCAGCAAAAACATGTTACACAGCAAGCATGATTCGAGGCGTATAACACATGTAACGTCGTATGACACAGAAGCATCATATCACTAATATAAAAAAAAAGAATAAAACGTTAGAAGAAGGTTACAGCCTAAAATAGGGCTGATGGCAGCAATTTAGTCTAGAAATGAATAATGATCGAATATATGCCAAGAGCCATATTTGTAGTCAAATATAAATACATAATAAAAATAACAGCTTGGTCTACATATCACACAAGTGAGAAGCTCATACCACTGCCCACGAGAAAGCTTCGGCACAGTTTTTTGAAGGCATAAAATGTTTTATTATAATCTATAGTCATGTCTGTTCTGTTTAGCATCTTAGTTATCTGATATGACAAAGCAGTGCGGCCATAATTGGTTCTTATTGAAGGCATCCTTCGTTTTGGGTCTCGTAGTTGGTACGGACCTAAACTCGATTTTGGTGTGGAGTATATTCTATGTTTGTGAATCCATTGTAAGAGTTTAAAATAGTATATTTGGTCTGCCTGAAGCATATTATATTTGATGAATAGAGGTTGGGTTCTTATGTTTCTAATATCTCCTTTATAATTTTCGCACATGCGAAGAGTCCTCTTCTGCAAGGTGATAAGTTTGACATAGTACGAATTGATCGTCGTCCCCCTAACTAAGATACCGTAACTGATTTTAGAGTAGACCAAAGAATAGTACAACGTCTGTTTTAGCCAAGTGGGCAGCAAGTTTCGTATTTTATATATACTTCCCGTAACACGAGATAATTCACCTTTGAGTTTATTCACGTGAGTGTTCCATGAAAGGTCCTCGGTAAACCATACACCAAGAAATTTTTGTTCCGACACTTGCTCAAGCACAGTGTCTTCAAATTTTAAGCTTATGGGGCTGCAGTCGAGTTTATTTATTGGCTTAAAAATAATATACTTAGTTTTGATTGTATTTAGTTTTAAATAATTTGTTTGTAACCAGTTGGATAGCTTCAATAGATAGACATTTGCAGCATTTTCTAGGCATTTTTTCGTCACTCCAGAAAAGAATACGTTGGTATCGTCTGCATACATTATAAGGTCGGGGGAACCGGATATAGTCGTTATATTATTAACATATATAAGAAAAAGAAGTGGACCTAAAATTGACCCCTGAGGGACACCATGCTGTATTTTAAGTCGATTTGACGATTCGCCGTTTATTAGTACATATTGGTAACGATCCGCAAGATACGTTTCAATTAATTTTAGAGCTACTCCGCGCACACCGTAAATTTCAAGCTTTCTAAGTAAAATATTGTGCTGCACAGTATCAAAATCTTTACTTAAATCTAAGAAGAGACTAAGAGTAAATAATTTGTTCTCAATATTTTCTACTATTTTATCCTTTATGTTAAGAAGCGCTAGCTCCGCCGATTTTTGCTTTTGAAAGCCGTATTGGGACTTCGTTATTATATTATGCTTCTCAAAAAAACATGTTAATCTATCAGCAATGACACGCTCAAATACTTTAGAAAAAACTGGAAGAACTGAGACAGGTCTGTAGTTATTAATCTTTGTCTCACCCCCTCCTTTATACACTGGAGTGACCCTGGCTATTTTTAGCTCGTCAGGGAAATCGCCGGACTGAAGCATCTTATTTACTATATTCGATAGAACTGGACTAACTATGGTCACAGTGTACTTAGTTCCGATTTGTTCCGATTTGTTCAAAAGACCACTTCGCTTTCTTTTTCCTTTTGAGTCTGATGTAAATTTTCTTGCTTGATGGTTTCTTGATTTAAATACAAAACTGGCGCATAGAAAGCAGCAAATAATAAAGAAGCGGTAAATAAAAATGTATTTTTCGGTAAAAGGATTGGTTTCCAACATCACAGGAAAACCGGTCTCATTTAAATCACAATTAAGATCTTGATTTTTATTTTCCACTCAGCTTTCTTTTAGTAAATAGGTTAATTATGTTCTTCGATATTGAACAAATAATCTTTTATACAGGCCCGCGTTTCGTATAAAAAAAATTAGGGAGGCTCAATTTACCTGTTTCCCAAGCGTCCCATATGCAGAATGCCCTTGCACTTCATACGCATGTCTGGGCGTGGCGCTAATACAATAGTTATGCTTCCGAAAACAAATTTTTATTTAGCTTTGCTGTAACGTGCGTGTTTTGGTTACACTTTTTTGTTTTCACCTTGACGCACTGTGTTAAAATACAATTTGTTAAGCCAAACCTTGGAGTAATTAAAATAGAATGGTATCTTTCTCTATTATTTTGTCTTTTAGTTCTTGTGAATTATCTCGTATATATTGCGAAATTTTCTTAGCACAAACTGCGGCGTCAATAAAAAAAAGACGCACCTATATTATTTTGTCTTGAACTTTTGTTGTACAGCAACACGCAATGTGTTCCCACACATTTTGCTCACCCAAACTTGGCTTAATTGGAAGAGAGGCGCTATTTCTTTCCAGTTTGTTGTCTTGCTCTTGTCACTCTCTTTACCCTGGAATTCAAGTTTCTTAAGTATCAATTTGTTGGAGGCATGTTAGATGAGCCATTACGTGATTTGACATGAATCAAGCTGGGGAGAGTGGTGTAAGTGAGGAATCGTAAATGGGAAAAGGATATCTCGACGATACGGCACCAGAAATTCCCAACTTCACTCCGACATAACGTATTCGGCATTAATAAGCACTCCATGGGAGAACATAGTAGTGTCATAACATTTTTCTTATTTAATAACTGTGCAGTGTAAAGAAGACGTCCTTGCTGCGCGGAATTCTTCCAGTTCGTCTGAAATGATTGTTTTAATGGTGACGTGTTTCCTCCTCGCACTGGATGAAAGTAAGCATAATTTTTTAAAGACCAACAAGCATTGGTACGTTGGTCCCTTATTGAACCAAACCGACATGATGGTTGACAACGGCAGATATATTTATTACGCATTCCGCCACATGACATTGTCATGTGGTGGGATGCGTCAACATCACTGTTCACATTGTTGTCCAGATTAAAAATATTTGCAAACAATACATTTTTTAAAGATTAAAGTAGCAAAACAAATGAAGTACTTTGTCACAATAATCTTTCAGTTGTTGATATAAGCTAACAGCTATCTTGTGATACATCGCTTGGGGTATTGATATTAATGAAGAGAACAGTTAATTGTGCCACATTGTCAAATATTAGATATTTGAAAATTTTTAACTCGGTTTCCCCAGTATTAATTTTTCTTTCAGGTGGTTTTAGGACGAGACTTTTGCCTGGAGAAAAGCTCTATATAAAATTGGTTTATCGTTTTTGTTTCGTTTAAAAAACAAAAACAACGAAAAAGTAAAAAAATACTCCGAGTTCAGGCGAGCTGGTGTAAGCTGAGCATGATGGTAAACGTGCAACTATGGTAGGAAAACGGAAAAGGCAAAGGAAGGCAGGGAAAGAACTGGACTGTCTTCTTCTGTTTTCCTTCTCGTTTTCTATTTTCCTATCCCAGCCTCAGGTCAACCATCATGATCAACAAAAAAGCCTCTTTTTGTACTGTCTAAACATTCGTCCACTCCAAGCTTGCTTTATTTCGTTGTTGTTAGCGATTCACTAGTAAGAGACGTCGCAGAAAATTGCTCTGCGTATGTATTGTCTTACATGTCTTTCCAAGAGTTCTCAAAAAGTGCAGTTATTATACAATCAATGCTGGAACGTCATTTGGCCGCAAAACTTGAGCGACCTTAGAGATTCATTTAGAACAAGCAGTGACCTCATAATTTTCCCACGTCTGACATTTTTTTTGGGGATACCATATGGTATCCCGAACTCGTCGGGGACGTGTTTTGGGTACCTCATGACTAAATAATTGAAAACCGATATTGCTGAGCTCGCTAGCGTCTAAGGGTTGAATCACCACACCAAAAACCACCGGTTGCTTAAAGATCGGATTTCAAGCTGCTTGTTTTTTTTGTATTAAAAAAACAGGTTCATCCACATCTTTTCTATTTTGCGATTGTTAATGACATCTGTGAAGTCTAAAATGGGAAGTATTTTTGGTATGACTGCACCTCAACTACATTTAAAAATGCATTTGAGTGAGCTTGGGTCAAGATAAAATATGCTGCGAAAATATTTTAAACATGTAAATGCACCTTTGTACTCAGTTCTGTCACTCCAAAATCTCTAATTTTTCATTTACTAGACAAATTCGAATTGCAGACTTACGTGCTCGGGTATCTAAATTAGAAATTTGGTGAAAGGTAAGTGTTTACAGGAATATGTTGCTTCCGTGTTGCAAAAAAGTGCTTAGGCATACCTAGGTAAATATTTGCAGTACCAGTGCTGTAATTGGGTATTCTACAAATGAGAGTAAACCATAATCTACAAAGCTAATCGATTTTTGGCCCATTCGAGTACGCAATGCTCATTTATATATATTCTTACCGTTTTCACCCTAATATTTTATAGGCAGTCACTTGATTCCAGCTTGTTTTAATCCAATACTAAAATAATAAATATATCTACAGCGCGAGAAAACATGCTTTAGTTTGCAGCTTCCACATTAAAAAGAAGCTTTTTTTTCCGGGCTTAGTAATATATGGCAAATTACTCTTCTACTTCTGAAATAAAATAACCGACTGAAAAAAAATTAACTATTTTTATTTTTAAGCAGTTTAACAAAAAATAATTTCAACCTTTTTTAAAGATTAAAACTGCAGTTCGTACTTTAGTGCAGTGCTCTGGGTGGCCTTATCCTGATTGCGGCAGAAGCCTCGTAAGCGGGATGTCCAAATCATTTATTGAAAAACGGCCGGCGAAAAAAGGAGAATTTCCCTGGCAGGTAATGTTACATTTTGATAACCTGATGAAATATGATATAGCTGCAAATCCTTAAAACATATAGTATTTGAACTACTGCTGCGAGTAGATAGCCTCTCATCGGGGTACTAAGCATACTAGGCAGATACATCAATGTAATCATTCTGCCAAGTTCGCTAATCACCATTAGACGGTACTAGTTCTTAATGCATAGTAAAAACAAAAATTTTGAAAATGGAGAGAAAAACAGTATTTGCTCAAATAGGGAACTTCCACGGCGGCTTTTGAATATTACTTGGAGGGGTCGGGAATACCATAATGTATGGGGTGAAAACAACCATTGTATTAATATTGCCACGAACGACAAATGATGAGGTGGCGAATAACTGCAGAAACTAAACGTTTAATGTGGCGAAATTTTCCTAAACCAAAATAAAAATGAATTGCGAATAACAGGCGTCCATGACGACTTAATGGCAGAATCGAGCGTAGGCGGAAGAGTGACCCCGGTTCGCTACGCGGAACTATAGTTATAAACACGCGTTGTTTTTTGGAACAATCGTCGTAGAAGCTTCGGCGCGTAGAAAATCCTGATCTCAATAAAGCAACACAATTAACGAATACACCAAAACGCGACATTACATGAAATAACGAAAATGTGCCTGCGCTCACAGGCATCAAACCTGGGCCCTTTCCGTGGGAGCCAAGCACGATAATAACCATTCGGTCAAAGGCGCACAGCCTACTTGTCTAGCTGCGCGCGCCGCAACACCAGTGCGTATAACGGCTCTAACAAAATTATTATTTTTAAACAAGTAAACTTAACAGGACGCAATGTATTTCAAGCCTTAGAACGTATGATGTTTCAGAGCAGACATTGGGGCGGTCGGTAAGGTTCTGCATGCCTTTGGTTTAGTGACATGTATTGCGGTGTACAAATTCATCAATTTGGTTATTATAACTGGTTATACTGATTTACGTGAACACATATTTTGAAAGCTATCCGGGTTTTGTAAATGTTGATTTACTTGATATTAATACCTGAAGAAGCACTCACTCCAGATAAAAGTTGAAACAGAAAGCTCCCAATTTAACACGTGAAAAATAATATAACACTCTTCTAACTTCATGCGTATAAGAGATGTGTAAGCACACAAATCTCGTTCCTGCATGCTCACCTCGTGCTTGCTGTATAAAATAAGTTCATTAAATATATTGAGATATGTAGAAAGAGCCCGATAAAGATACAAGGTCAGTCATCGACCACAATAGGAAAACATATATGCATATTATAGAGAAAACGATCACAATTGTGATGTTTGCTATATATTTTAGAGAGTCAACTTTGAAATTTTCTGTTAGGCGGAAAGTGATGGACAGGCAGAAGGTGCGGACATATTCTTAAAAAAAATATCAACATAATATACGGTCTTTTTTTTATCTAGTTGCGATTCTGTGGAGCTAAGGTTGCAGGAAAGAACGTCAGTTTATTTCATGAAATATGGTTTGTTTTAAGCAAAGCGCCGAAGTCATTCTATGCTTATTTTGATTTTTACAGATGCACCAAAATGAGCCTCATAAATTTAGTTTTATAAATAACTTTACTTTTTATTTTACTAACTCTTTTTATATTCATGTGAGAAATTTTTTGTTTCAGACTACGTATAAAAGAGGAAACGTATCGGTTTTATTTTGTGTTACTTCTGAAGGCGACTGCATGCGTTCTTGCGTTTTCTTTTCATTTTGTACAAAATGCAGATAATGTTCTACTCAAGAATAATGCACGCCGGACGCTCTTTCTCAGATTGATCTCAGACTAGAATAATGTTCATAGCACAAGATTGAGGGCACGTGCATGTCTTGTATTAGACAAACGTTTATACACACACATGTATTAACATCCCTAGGTCCATCTCATTATGAGAACGTGGGATGAGGAGTTTTCGTGTGGAGGGTCCATTATAACTCCGAGCGTTGTTCTTACTGCTGCGCACTGTGTTGAAGGGTAAGTTTTGCTTTTTAAGGTTTTGTGTGTTCGTGAAGCCTGTAACGGACCGTTATTATTTGTTCAGAATAATTGAAGAATACTCGGAAGTTACGGCCGGATGTATCAACCTTTTAAGAAGAGGTCCCTACTTTCAGACACGACATGTGAGATTTTTCTTGTCGTACATCGTCATTTTCGTTTGTTTGTGAAATTTATTGTCCCTTTTATGTGTAATGAAATGCAACCACACATTAATGAAACGTTTCTCGTAACGCAGCGTTTTAATATCTTTTTAGAAAAAAAAATCATACTTACATAGACTATACAATTAAATTGGCCTCTCGTTCGAATTATATTAAAAAATTATTATCCATGGACCTTGATTGAATTAATGCTTTGCGTTATTGTACAAATACAAAAAGTGCCTGACTTGTGTAAGACGTAATTTTTATTTGCCATAAATTTTGAAAATGTATGTCAGTACACCCAGTAAACAGCAAACTGTGGCTATTTTTTATATCGTGAAATTATCAAATTTCTTTTTAGGCTCGGGACCTGTGGCTACGGCCATTACAATAACAAGGAATGAAATATGCCTTTAAGTGTAATGGCATATTTAATATGCTGTTAGACTGCATAAATTGAGAATCGTTTACGAAAGAGGTCACTATGTAATTACCCTAATGTATCAATATCATATTTAATGACGCATATATTTTCGTCTAGGACCCCAAAGACTCTCGTGAAGTGTGTAAATACGTCTTGAGGTATAGTTATATCACAAAGCTTATTGATTATACATTGCAAAAAAAAAAAAATCTCCAGTCTCAAATTTGTAAATAGTATAATCTTAGGTTTACAGGTGTTTTTTTTTTCTTTTTGTGAATGGCAGACAAATATCCCTTGCAAGATTAATTCACCGCCCCAAAAGATATAATGACGCCGTATTGGAAACTGCTAAAAAGGGCACCTAGAAAAGAGAGTAACGCATAAAATAAGTGAGTCATTAAGTGTCAAACAAAGTTACTTTTAATTATAACTACTAGGCTAAATATTTACTGGGCACCAACGTAGACCCTTCGATATACTGCGTTTCGAGGCGCGTGTAGCGTTTTAATAAAACATTGAATGTAAATCAGCGCTAAAGTTCTAATGTTTTCGTTTCTCGAATATGAGCACGTATTGCCACTAGAAAATTTTTATATCGGTGGCGTAGAGCAGTGGCTAGGTTTTCATGGCAACATCCAATTGATTACCGAATGCACCAAGACGCATGATTATATGGCGCTTCTTTCTATTCGTAGAAAAAGACAGCCCTCGAAGTTTTGTAAAACCAACCTATTATGTAACAAAAACCTGACCTTGCTTCGCCATAACCTGACTGCTTCATCACAATCTACATAATATTTAAGTCATTACAATCACTCCTTTTCTTCATGAAGACCGCGCTTTATTCGGACGAAATGGCGCTTTTTTTAGAAGTTTTAGCGAATATGTGTGCGAGGAGATATAGATAGAAACATAGGTTTGAGGACGTGGGCGTGTAAATTAAAAACGAGTTTCTGGATGACGCAGATAGCGCTGGCCGAAGAAGGCTTAAAACAACTATGACGTTAATTAAGTGCAAATCTGGCTATTGTATTCAATGAAAAGTACAACGTACTTGAACAAAAATGTGAAACAATTTTTTTAGAACGTATCAAAAATGTTTTGCTGCGAGTTGCATATTCATTTCGCCCCAATATATGAAAGCGTAGTATTGTCTAAGAACAAGTAACCAACTTATCGCGATTTCAGGTGAAGGAAGTGATCATGCACAACAGCTTTGATTTGGAAACCTTATCCAATGATATCGCACTGGTAAAGCTACGCATTCCCTTTTACATTGAAGAGAGCGAAGGTCACATTGGTGCGATTTGCATTCCGAAGAAGATGTTCAGCATCATGAATAAGGTCACAGTAACGGGATGGGGGAAAATTTCAGCAAGTAAGAACGCCTTTGTCATCTTACTTTTTTTAATCCCTTCAAGGTCTTGTTTGATCGATTTTCAAACACATATTAGGAATCTGATAAAAATACGGATATTAGGATATTATATATTTTACTCTCATTAAGTGAGAAGAGAGCGGAGTTACAAAAATAAATAGTTCCTATTTTAAAAGCACACAAAGGATATGTTTGGGGGGATATGTTCGTAGCAATAATCAGGATGAGGTGCTGAATATAAAATTAAAGTGCAGGCGGGCCGTTAATGGCATCGAAAAAACGGTGCGTATTGTTTTGACGGCCACAATATACCGAAAATTAAAGAGATGTTAAGCCGAACCGTCCTTTTTTTTTAAAGAAAGCACATTGCCTTTTGTGCACCGTTCAGTGCTGCGAGCCCCGTCACCAATTTTTTATTCGTTATATTTGCGCGTACACAACGCCATCTCGACAGTTTTGACAGGAGTTGTTCACTTAACGGCCTTTGTTATAAAGTGAGCAGTGTTTCTACAGAAAGTGTAAAAGACAATTTTGAGTAGAATAGTTTTATAAAATCTAGGAAACTTCGAAAGATGAAGCAATTTTCTTAATCTCCATTTTTATTACGAAGATGCTGGTTCTGAGGCATCAAGTGTGCGTGAAAAAAAAATATATCTCCGATAGTGTTCCACCGGGGGGTTCTATATGAACGAATAAAAAACCGAAACTACATAGTTGCTCTGCCAATTGCGCATTGATGACCTTAAAGGTGGGGCACAACTTATTTGCCATTATGCTTTATATATTCACAAGTAAAATGTCCAAAATAATTACGCACAATCTTAGGTCATGTTGGCATTGAACATTCTTGAACACCTTTACTTTTGTCAGAGTCAGGTGGGATACCGTGTTTGTTTGCAAAGCGAAAGAGTACCTTCATTTTCATGCTGTCGAATTCGAACTTCTAAGAAATTTAATTGGAGGCTTGCCTCCTGGAAGAAAGTGAGCAATTAATCACGTTCTTCACAACTAGCTAAAAACAAAATAAAAAATAAACACATTTTCAAACCTCTGTAGCACAAAACTAGAGCACAGTTCTTGAGGAGGAAAGGGTACGCAGGGGAGGGTATGCCCCCCTCCTCTCTACCCTCTCCTACTCCCCTTCTCCTCCCGTCCTTCTCCCCTTTTCCCCTGCTCCTCGTCCTTCCCTCATTTACTCCTCCTCCCCGATCCTCCTCTTGGTCTCCCACCCTCCTCCTCATTCTCAACTCCGTTCCTCGTCCTCCTCTCCTCCTTCTCTGTACTTCCCCCTTCTCCTCCGTACCCTCCCCGCGTCCTCCTGCAAACCCTCCCATCATTCTCCTATGACCCCCCGCCTCCTTCCTTCCCTACACCCTCCCCTCCTCCCACAGCTTCCCCGCTTAATTTAGCCGAAAAATTGACACCACGTGGCCTCAACTGCAATTCAATTCCCCGCCAAATTTAGCGGGGAATTGAATTGCTCGTGAGGTCCCGTGACGTCAATTTTCTCGCGAAATCTAGCTGAAACACGGAATGTTTTTCATAGTGGACGTTACACCAAGTCATGTGACGTCATTTTTCCCGCTAAATCTAGCGGGGAAACTGAATTGGTGCTGAGATCCCGCGACGTCGATTTTCGCGCAAAATTTAGCGGGGAATTGAATTGCTGTTGAGGTCTCGTGACGTCAATTTTCCCGCTAAATCTAACCGAGAAACTGAATTTGTTCACAGGTGACGTGACACCCAGTCATGTGACGCCATTTTCACCGCTGAATTTAGCGGGGAAACTAAATTGGTCTCGAGGTCACGTGACGCCAATTTTTCCGCTAAATTTAGTGGGGAATTGAATTGCTGCAGAGGTAATGTAACGCCATTTTCCTTCTAAATCTGGCGGAGCAACTGAATTTGTTCATAGGTGACGTGACTCCAAATCATGTGACGTCATTTTCACCGCTATATTTAGCGGGGAAACTGAATTGATGTTGAGGTCACGTGGAGTCAATTATGCCGCTAAATTTAGCGTGGTTAAGGTGACGGCCACGGTGACGCCGACGACGCGACAGCCGGAAACAGGCGCCTAAGTGCTCTGCTCTAATAATGACATCGTCTATGTAGTAAATGATTGTTATCCATTTTAGTGATTTTAAGCGACAATCCTTCATTCGCTCGAATGTTGGAGCGGCGCTACATGAGCCGAAAGCCTTTACTTTAGATTCATAAATGTCGTCCATAGCTATTAAAGCAGCCTTTTAGAGCGCAGCTCTTAGGCGCCCTTTTCCGGGTTGAGCGGCGGCGGCGTTGGCGTAACCGCGCGCTACATTTTGGGACGTTTCGCCGCTCAAGATAGCGGGGATATTTTCACACCAAATTTAGCGGAAAAGTGTTTTCATTAAATTTAGTGGGAAAATGTTTCCGCTAAATTTGGCAGGGTAATTTCCCCTCTAAACCAGCGGGGAAATGTTTCAGCTAAATTTAACGGGAATTTTTCTGCTAAATTTAGCGGGGAAATTTCCCTTCTAGATTTAGCTGGGAAATCGACGTCACGTGACCTCAACGCCAATTCAGTTTCCCGGATAAATTTCGCGAGGAAATCGTTCCGCTACATTTTATAGGGGAAATTTTTCCGGTGCATTTACCGGGAAAATTTGCCCTCTAAATGTAGCGCGAAAATTGAGGTCACGTGACCTAAACACCAATTAAGTTTCCCCGTTAAAATTAGCGGGGAAACATTTCCGCTAAATTTGCGAGGAAATTTTCCCTCTAAATTCTGTGGGGAAATTTTTTTATCAACTTTAGCGGGAAATCTGCCGCTAAATTTAGCAGGAAAATTTCAAATAAAAATTTTGCAGGAAAAATAACATCACGTGACCTCAACAACAATTCAGTTTCCCCGCTAAACTTAACGGGGAAAAGGACGCCATGACTTCTTCTCACGTCACCCATGAACAATTTCAGCGGCAGGGGAAGAGGAGGAGGAAAGAAGGTGGAGGAGGAGAGACATACCCTCCCCCTCCGTACCCTTCCCTCCTCCTCCTCAAGAGCTGCGCTCTAATTTCGCATTACAGAGATTCGTAAACGTCTTTGATTTTTGTTTTAATCTCACTTGTCGACTTCGATCCGACTCCGACAATAGCCGCTGCAAAATAATAGACAAACAAAAATAGACCTGAGCAATGTGCAGGCAACAGGGAGTTTAGAATAACGTGCGCAATTTTAGCACACGTTAGAGCTAAATTTAGTCCTCCGGAAGAGTTTTTGTATAGCGTTTCTCCGCCGCGGCGCAAAAGTCCAAGGATCTCGCGCTCGGAACGCCACCAAGTTGCAGTAAGAATTTTTTTATTTCACATACGAAATGCTGCAATTAAAAAAGAAACGAAAAAAATAGTTTCTTTTTAGATTAGAGGAACAGTTTAGATTTGTTTAAATATGAGAATACGACAGGAGTGGTCGACCGGTCGTGCCCGCCATACGTCGCCTCGGTAAAAGACGTCTCCTGTACTGACTGACTGACTTTCGACGAGAAACGATCGCTCGTCGCGAGCAGCAAGTTGCCGGCGATCGCTGCCCACTTTGCTGGGTCATCCAAAACGTTTCTGACGCTCACCTCCCGTAGGATCGCAATGTCGTCCTGCGTTGAAAATAGCAGACTGGAGGAAGCCGCGGATATCGCGTTCACGCCGCCGCCAAAGAGGCCGCAGTGGCCGCAGCGGCCGCAGGCGCTGTTCTGGCTGGGAGCCGCCATTTTCTAAGTGTTCTCGTCATGGCTTGAGCCAACTTGTGATCATAAATTCTTTTCGGAAGAGTGCGAACGACCGCAAACTCTTTGCGTACGCACGCAATTTCTGAGAAATGGCGTACGCTAAAATGGTGCGCCCGCAAAACGCGAACGGAGTTAGCGTTCTGCGCATGCGCGGTGGCGACGATGTTGTTCTTTGCGTGAGCAAAGCTGTAGCGTGCGCTATCCTAAAACTGCCTAATTAAGCTTATCGCCAATACATGGAAATCGGTGTACATATTTTTTGTGACCGTTTATTCGACGGTTTGGCTTTAAAACTCCCACATCGTTGCTTTTTTTAATCTCCACTCGTTATACAAACATAGAGTAAATATTTTCTGTCATACCGATAGCGTGTAAACATGAGTGCCTTGTATATTTAGGTATGTAGCAATTCCGTTATTTTTCCATTCTCCCTTTCGTGAAAGCACTGTTTTTATTGTATGTGTGTCCATTTTTCGCCACCGTCCGCACGACTGTGCCGACGAAACGAGTCGAGGCGGCCTCGTCAAGCAAACAATCGTTAGCTTTCTGCCTCCCCCCCCCCCCCCCCCCCCCGCCCTCGTCGTCGTCTGTACTGTTTTAGCAAAAGAAATAAAATTAAAATTGAAATTGAAATATTGAAATACTTTGAAGTATACTCGAGGCAAATAAATTGCTTATTCGGAGTATCATTATCGGTAGTGGTAAACTAATTACCTGAGCCCGCTAATTACCGTTTAAATGTTTTACATGTAGATTCTAATTATAGATTGGATGACCGTTGTCAAAATATGCTCAATAGGCCGTGGCTTATTTAGGTATTCTGGCAACAAAATACTCCTCGGTGGTCTTGTCTGGCTGGTTTAAACCGCGACGGAAGTAGTATGTATTTCCGGGTGCGATGCTTTCGGCCCTTTTCATGGCGCAATACAAGATGACTTCGCCATTTAAACACCGCGGTAAAAAAAAAAAAGTTTTCTGGCTATCAACCATTCATACAGAATATTTGGGCGAGGAACAAGATATGTCTAGCTTAAATGTGTCATAAAGGATAAATAAAAAATTTGTTATACGGATATTTTCGGTAAATACTGAGTGCAGTACTAATTATTACTTTTTATTTCTATCGTGACTTCCGCCGCTTTCGACTAGGTAAGTGTAAAACGAATCATTTTGGTTTAAAGTTTCCATTAAAACATATCATCCTTAGTTAAATAAATTTTATCAGTCACAGTTTGTCTCAATTGATATGATCCTACTTTAGCATATCTTTTGAGATAATGTGTTTTTTTATTGCATGAACTCAATGCAGGATACATTTTTTAAGGGCGTATACACCGTAATTATAAGAATAGAGGATATTCTGTAGACAAGACGGTTCTCTCTAATTATTGTACTTGCTCACAGTGTAGGAATAGATACTGTGAAGCTATAACTACTGAACCTGAATTCAGAGTCTTAAGAACTTTAAAAATTCTGTTTAAAAAGTTCCAAGCCCGCAGCTTGTACGAAAGTTTAGGTCTGTTGTTTTACAGTTGTTTTTTTTTTGCCTAGAACTACAGAATTTACTGAGTTCTGTACTGCATTAAGAGAGCTTTAACTTTTGTGCAATCATTGCTCGAGTTTCCGTGTAAATGAGTGAGTTTACTCTACCACATACCGCTTTCATTGTGTTACAAAAGATGGCGAAATTGTTACAGTATATTGTAGAATGATTGCAATTTTAGAATGATATAGAGGCAGTAGCGGGTACGAGATTGTTACAATATATGATTTTTTTTCGTGGATTGTTTCGACATATATATCAGCGTCCACAGACAAGCTCTCCTTCTTTTGTTTTTGAAGTGCAGGCACATAACTGGAACGATATTATGTAGCTCAATCATTAGAAGTGTTTATGATTGGCTCGTTTATTGTAAGTGTCTATGAGGAGTGTTTCAAACACGTGGATATGATGTTGCTAATCACGAGTTTTCTCTATTTTTTTAATATTCTTAAACCTCACTAAGTTTTACGCTTTCAGATGGTCCAATTTCGGCCGATATGCATGCAGCTGTTGTCCCCGTAAAGAAAGACCTAATCTGCAGGAGACATAATGAAGGCTACAACTCACAAAGTATGTTCTGTGCCGGGACCTCCGGGAAAGAATCATGCGAGGTATGGATATCTTTCATATGCTTCTTGTATTGCAATTCGAAATTCTCCTAAGCTTTTTCTTTTTTTGAAGATGAAATTTGCCGCGTGCATGATCAATAAAATAGGCTTCTTCATTTGTCTAGAAGATTTGCGCACCCTCTTTTCTGATCGTAAAGGAAAAGGAGACCAGAATGTCCTTGCCTTGTCAGTCTCGCCCTAGCTCTTTCCGAACATTCTAGGTCGAATATTTGAGATGACGAGCGAATTAGATAAAGAACCCTGCGCCGTATTGTGGTTTCATTCAATGATTCTTTCTCGCGATAGCCAGCTGTTATGCCGACGCACCGTCGCTTGCCGCAACGCAGCGCTCGTCTCGTGAGTGTCAGCTGAACGTCTTGCTAAAGTAGATTCGAGATTCTCCTTCGCGTCACATAACGAGACCAAACATAGAGCGACGCCAGCCACGCGCACCGCACCTTGAACGCACTAACCGAGCGTTCTCGCGGCGTACAGCTATCTTAATTTACTTTCTTATTTTTTTTTTTCTTTTAGTTTGGCGTGCTTTCGGGAGAAGGCCGTTGACGGGAAAGCCGTAGCGCAGCGCGCTTCTTTGTTTCGCTACGTTTATGCTTCGGGAGTTCTGATTCCGGGGTTGCCGCAACGCCAGAAACGGTGGCGCTGCGATCGCGTTTAGCTCGAGCCTGCATTACGTTTTTTGTTTTCACTGCTTCTGCTACAATAGTTTAAAAAATGGCAACATTTTTAGCTTAGAGGCTCCAAAGGTCGTATAATAATTGGATTTCCTTGTTACGGGAGTTTATTTTTCTTGTAATAAGGGCGTGTCTTTCCAAGTTTATATTTTGAGCACATTCGATGCTTTTCTGTGTCAGTTTTTCGTGCTGGACAAAAAAATGGGCGTTGCGCAAAAATTTATTGATTTTGCAAACCAGGTACCTGAGGAGGTCTATGAGGGGGTCTATGAGGGCGTGTAGCTTAATCTGCAGGTTGCTGGGTTTGGACGATACAATATGCTTTATTTACGTCTTACAAATTAGTTTTTTTTTTAAAGATACACCGTGAAAGTTACATTATTGCGCACTGTGAAGGTGAGTCACACAATGAAAGGGACATGAAACCAATCGTAACAAAGTGGGATAATTTACTATTATTTAGAGCACAGCTCTTAGGCGACCATCTACGTGTTGAGCGCCGTCGCCGTCGGCGTCGGCGTAACAGCGCGCGATGCATTATGGAAAATTTTCCCGCCAAATTTAGCGGACGAATTCTTCCGCTAATTATTGTGGGTTAAGTTTCCCGGCTAAATTTAATGGGAAAATTGACGTCACGTGACCTCAACACCAATTCCCTTTCTCCGCTAAATTTAGCGGAGACATGTTCGCTAAATTTAGCGAGAAATTTTAACGAAAATTTTCTGCCAAATGCGAGGGCAGCAGGCGAGGAGGAGGGAAGGGGGAAGAGGGGCATACGCTCCCCTTCGTACCCTCCTCTCCTCCTCCCAAACAGCTGGGGCTCTAAACTCGTGAAACACGAAGTTGGAGCCGAAGTTCACGAAGCGTACCGATTGGACTATCACCACGATGACTTCGCACTTCTGTCGCCAGCGACCAATCGGCGCGCTACGCGAACGTTCGACTCCAACATGGTGGTAAATGCTCCTAAAAACACGGACCAGGAAAGAAGCACACAGGACGAGGCGTAACTTGCGTCTAAACTTCACTGAAGGAAGCAGAAAAAAAAACAAGAATAAAACCTCACATGCGCAAAGATGATGGACTTTTATTAACCACCTGGAAAGTCTGCCGTCACTGCTGAGTCAACGATAAACGCCTGCTCTTTATTAGAAAAGGCAACAGAAGGAGCCCTGATACACGCATTCGTCCCATGGGCCCTTGTCATGAATGCCTCATGTATTTCGCGTTCCAATTTTGTTACGAATTTTTCCCTAACTAATCTTGGTACTATTAAACTCGGCCTGGCATTCACACCTGTTACAATGTACAGCCAAGTGGCCAGAGGAAAATTGCCTGGTGGCGGCGGAGTGTTGTCTGATTCTATCATTAATGCACCTCCCCGTCTGGCCAACATAAACCCTACCGCAAGACAGGGAGACCTCGTAAGTTACCCTTAAGGCACATTGCCGAAACTTGGCGGCATGAGGCTCGCTGCACACCCCCTCCGCATCACCCGGCACACCAGCACTATTTATCCTTTGAAAAACTTAGAGAGCTTGTTTGGGGCAGGAAAGACTTCAGGAATGCGAAACTTATTCACCACGTTTTGAGGCTGTGAGAGATCTTATGTACACAAGGCAGGACAGCAGGTCTAACTTCAGGCCTCTCTCTCTCTCTCAGCCTCCTCTCCCCCAACAAGCCTCTTCAGCTTCTTCACCAACCTTTCAGCAACATCACATGAGACCCCGGAAGGGAACCCACATCCTGCAATCTGCCTAGCTGCAACTGAAAACTAAACTCCTCCTGCGAGGGGAAGTTTTTTCAAGGAGGCAGCCAGACAACGAGAGGCCATTCCCCTCTTTACTAGCTGCGAATGGCTCGAGTCTTATGAGAGCAGCTTTTTCTTTGTTCGGGGCTCATACGCCCAACACAGATGGTCGCTCTCAAAAGAAAAGACCCAAGTCCAAAAATTGCTGGCGCCCGGCGCTCGCGGTATCATGCGGCCTTCCGCAAAACTCTTAAAAACCTCAAGTACTCCAGAGACCATATTATCTTCGTTAGCCTCTACAGGATCTCTGTTTAAAACTAAAAAAAAAACGTTAACGTACCTAAAAAGTTTGAGCCTGTAATTCTTTACCAACAACCTTTCTATTGCCCTATCACACGAAGCAAGAAAAATATCACACAGTACAGGCGCCACCCTCCATCCAATCCATACGCCTCTTTCTTGCACAAACGACTCCCCTTCAAAAGAAACCAAGGTGTTCTTAAGGTAGTGAGTTAGCAACTCTAAAAAGCCTTCTACAGTTATTCCAGTGGAACTACGGAATGGCACCTCCCCATTCTCTTCGATGCATGTTTTCACAGCCACCAGAAGTTGGTCATGTGGCACAAAATGAAATAAATCTTCCACATCTATTGAAAATCCTTTTACCCCCTTCAAGTCTTCGCTGTGCAGAAACTCAATTATTGCTTCAGAGTTTCTTACAAAAAAAGGATCAAGCGAATTCAACCCCAAAATATGTCTGCAGAAAACGCCTTCTACTTCTCGCTGCCAGGTGTTCTTTTCAAAGATGATCGCCCTCAACGGGCGCCCAGTCTTGTGAGTTTTTGCCGTGAAGAACTATGATAAATTAAGCTTCTTTGAAGCTTGTGCCTTTTTTGCCAAGCTGGTCGATTCCAACCCTTGGCACAGGGACTTAGTCTGCGTTTTTATCTTCGACAGCGAAACTGGCTGGATAGGCCTGAAATGTCTTTCAAAGGCTTACCGGGACTTCTCTAAGTACAAGTCTTCTCCCACAACAACAAATCCACCCTCTTTATCAGAAGTTAGAAGCTTAAGGCTATTCTCTATAAAATTAAAAACAACGTCCTTCATACTAGCAAACCTCTGTTCCACTGTTAAATTGCTTACAAGAACATCAACACCTTCAGAAATGCATCTGTCCTTGTCCTTTGGATCAGCCATTTCTGCCTAAGTTCTCACTAAGACCAATCTTTCCACAGGTTTTTGTCGCGGCGCAAGGCTAAACGTGGGTCCCTTGTTTAGAATATTTGTGACCTTGCAGGGTGCACTTGCATCCTCCAGAAAGGTAGCACCGTTGTACACCACTTGCTTCTTTGCTTTTGTCGGCAGCATGGCTCGAGGCTTGTTCCACATAAAATCCGTCACCTGTGACAGAAGTCTGAGAAACTCATCGTACCTTCTGCTTGCTTAACGTTGAGTGGCCGTAGAACTCGCACACAGCCTCCACAAAAAGTCCCGGTGCGGGCTCACTTCCACCTTTCCGATTTGAGGATCTTGCAGACCCGCTTACCGTGCCCATCATAACTTTTTCTTTATTTTTGCGCATGTGCAGTTTTATTATTTTTATGTGTTTCCTTCAGTAAAGTTCAGTTGCAAGTTCAGTGAAAGAAGCACAGAGGACGAGAGGTCCTGTGTGCTTCTTTTTTTGTGTGTGCTTTAGGCGTATTTACCAGCATGCATAATTGTACCAACTAGCCGAACTCAGTTTTAATTTCGACTCTAACTTGGTGTTTAACGAGTATAGGGCCCCTGCGCTCTAATTTGGACTTACAGAGAATTGTAAACGTCTTTAATGTTATTCTAAATGAACTTACTAGACATTGAAAATACACATATGGTTCAAGATCTCAGCGTCTCCGAAAACTAATAAATAGGCAGATTTTAAAAAAAGATTTCGGGCGCGTGGGAAGCGCGGTGGAGCAGTATAGGTACTACTCGTGCAACGGACGCAATGCCTGCGGTGCGAAAACACAGACAGAAAAACCGCGCGGGCACGTTTTTGCACATCTAGACATGCACACCTTGCACAAATGGCACATTTAGCCATATCGAACTATAAGGGGAAAAGCGTATACGACATCTGCGCCTGATCCGGCCGCTCAAAATGTGAGTAACGAAATGACAGAACATAAGCAATGAATGGAGGAACGAATGGGTGACTGCGGCTTAGCCATTTGAATCGGGCGGTGACTTGCGCCACCTAGCCAGTGTTCTTTTTTTAAGCATGTATTTAACATAGAGCCATATATCTTAAGATTTATACTTAAAAGCTATAAACGATCCGTACGACGTGGGCGCCTTTATGTAAAGGAATGCTCACACCTTCCGCCCTACGGCTCGCCCGGGAAGAAATAAGAAAATGTTCATCCTTCTATCGATCCATTCCACCAGTCAGAAAATCTCTTCTTGGTTATCTCCGCCTTTCCTGTGTCTATTTTTACCACTACTTACCAAATCCCAGTTTCTTCGCTAGATTAGTCAAATCCTCAGCTACTACAGTACTATCAATTGCTCAGCCGTCTCCTCCTCCTCTCCTCAAGCTCCTCACACGACGAGCTTGCTATATAATGTTCCCCTATAGTAGTAGAGCTGACGTGTAAAAACCGCATTAGTGTAACTTTCATGTCTTTTTTATAAACAAACGGGAAAAAAGATATAAAAATCTTTGTCCACTGTGTTTTCTAAGGTCGTGATACAAGAAAAGGTTTTGTAGATGTCTATACTATACAAGGCGTTTCACGAAAGGTGGACACATTCAATATTACGAAAACTACGCGTCGCAAAAAAAAAAAAAAAAAAAAGTTGAGTCGTTTTGGTTTTGGGCCAGGGGCCTATTTAGGAAAATTAATAAAGTCCGAGATAATTAGATTGTTAATTATTTATGCGTAATTAACTTTTTATTGTTGTGTTTAATGGCATGTTTTTAATTAGAAAATTGCTCAGCATCATCAAAACACACTAAATCAACAGATTGCAGAACGATAGAAGGCACACGAAGCATTTTACGGCTTTCTGAAAAACCGCACAAATTCGACAGGTTTGAAGTTTCGGTTTGCAATCGGAGCGCACATCGGCCCCGACAGCACCGCACCCCGTGGAGAAATAGTGCAACCAGCCTCTGCTGCGGTGCGCGTGGACAGCGCTTATAATTGAGCCACCGCGAATGCGTCATGTTCATTTGAGTTTCTAGAAATACACATTTTGAACACACTGTGCGTAAGTTATGGAATGAAGGAAGCGGAATCGTCGTAGTAAATAATAATAATAATAAAAAAATTCGTGGCGCGCACAGAAAGTAAACACCGACATAAACACACTAGCACAATTTATGTAAAGCTAATTGTAATGAAGATGCACTTGATATCAAAATATTAATTAGCTGTATGAGTCTTGGCTTCCCCATTCGAAAATTTTCTCCGTTCTTTTTTTTTAAATTTTCACTCCCACTTTAAATAGCGTCAAGTTGCAAACCCTTTCTGCGATTTTCATTTCAGGGGGATTCTGGAAGCGCAGCCGTGCAAAAAATAAAGGGTGTGTTCGTACAAGTTGGAATCGTCGCATTTGGATATGAGTGCGTAGAAAGACCAGGGACAGGGTTTTACACCAATGTATCAAAGTTCAGTGATTGGATTGAAAATAAACTCAGTATCCTTCTTTAGCCTCTACCAATGGATAAAAAAAAACGTAGCTATTCGCTGATTTTCGAAGGAGCACATTAGTTTCTTCACACTGGTGCTTTGATAATTGCGCTGTTTAGTTAAGTCGATATACTATTCTCCAAGAACAATGAGTGTTGTGTAGTTTGATTCCGTCACGTACCTTTGACCTAACACTCGGGCCGTGTTCCAAAATTTACACGATCTTACTCCAGGGTAATGGTTTTGTACCCTTGGCGTTCTAAAACCTACCCGCGTCCAGCGTTTCTCAAGCTGTGCTGCCACGCGACACGATCCTCCGGAGTAACTCGGATCTATTTGGGTAAGATTCGGAACACAGCCTCGGCGTCTGCGTACACCGAAGTTTGCGTGTCTGCTGTTAGTGTCGTATTTAGTTTTAGGCTCTAAAGGTATGGGATATTTGCAATCCACAGTGTTTTAGTACAAGAAAAATCTCCATGATAAAGAAAACGTAACCATAAGCACCCATAGTAAGTGAAAGAAGGGTATTAAGGCAAAACCTAAGTTGACATAGGAAAACCATAAACGGAGAATAGCAACGGGAGGCACACAGCACGAATCATACCGGGTTTTTTTTTCTCGGGTTTGTCGTCATATCTGTTTTATACTCCGCATCGGGTGTCAATATGCCCAATCCCATCCAGAGGACGTCTGCGGTTAGCTTTTTTATAATCACATAATAGAAGTCTTAAAGATGTTGGCACCAAGGGTCACGTACATTTACGCTTCAAAAAAGAGTTATGAACTGAAAGTATACAATACGCAAATCTACTACAGTAGCCGCTTTATACCGGGTGGAAGTGATTTGCAATATCCGACTGAAATATAAGCTAAAGTAATTAACTTGTCTTTTTTTACCATTATTCTTACCACGATGTTCACTGTAAATCGACAAGAAAACTTGATGTGTGTTTCTCAACCTTTGAATAGTCACCGACGGCTCAAGAAATGCCAGGACGTGGCTTACCATCTTCCTGCCTCTTGTTTGGTTATTTGTTATTCGGGAATATTCTTGTTACCTGGTACCAGAATCGCAATCTCTGCAGATCTATGATAAGATGCCCAAGACACGTCACGCCCGGCGTTTATTTTTCAAGCTGTCAGTGGCAATAGCAAAGTATCGACTGCAAACCTAAGCTTATAGTGATAGATTTAGTCTATGCGGTTGTATGATCGGGGTGTCAGAAGTATAGGGATTTGGAAAACCACCGTCAAGGAATGACGTTACGGTCTGATGGACGTAATCAATCATCGCCGAAAAGTGCATCGTCACAGCGCTTGTTGGTTTAGTGGGTTTGCATCAATGCACAAAAAAGTAAAAGGGTGGTTTCTAATTCACTGTGCATTATTGACCCCCTTAGCGAAGACGTCACAACATGGAGCTCCGCTCCAAACTAACCGTTGCTAGGGCCCTTGTTTTTATGAGCGATTTGGGCAGCGTTGTGTGAAGCACCCTGTAGAACACATTTCTTCTGGGATTCTGAGTCACGTTGTCGTCATTTACAATCCTGATGGATATGTATGTTAAAAATACCGCCCTACCGAACAAAAAATATAACCTGGACTGTGGAACAGAAAATATAACTAATTTCTGCTGGAAACCTGAAATCCAGTTTGCAGATAATTGTCTTCAAACTGGATTTTAAGTTTCCAGCAAGAAATCCAGTTAGATTTTCGCCCCATAATACAGTTTATACTTTCGTTTTTGGTAGGGTGTGTAAAAAACCTTTCTATGAAAAGAGAGAATAAAATGCGCTGTCGTTGAAGTACCACGAAACGTTTAAAGGCGCCATTAAGTCAACCGAACGTCATCGAAATACTTGTGAAAATTTATGCGATTTAATAGGAAATATTTTGTTTTATTATTACAAACGGAACTGTCGCCTTCCTCTTTCTCTTTTTTTTTTTTACTTAAATTGGCCTGCTGCCAGAATATTCAAGTGTCCATTTATATTGAAAGAGACTATGTGTGAGCCAACTTGTGCCCTTATGCTTGGAATGTTCACATGCCTTCATTCATGTCGGGTAATAAAGCCGGAAGAAAAGGTAACACATGCCAAAAATTCCTAACTTTTTAACTTTTTGAGCATCAGCAGTTCATCGATGCAAAGTATTACAACTTATTTTGTGTCTTTTTCACCTACTTGAAATCCTTTATTGCTGTCATTGTTCTTCGGCCATTTGTACCATTGATAGCACTAAAACTCGAGGCCACATTATTAAATCCTCTAATATCAGTCCGAATAAAATATAAGTAATAATATGAAATAAAGCTATTAGATGCTTTCGCTGAAACTCGCTGACAGGAAAACGTGCTTCGCTCCATTCATCAACATTTGCGTGGGATAATGGTTTACGAATGCTATAAACTTCACTTCTAGCATTTAGACAATAAGTAAACGTGAGGAGAAACATAACCAGTCTCCACTCTTTAATGGTATAAGATAATGAGCTTGCTCATAAAATGACACAACAGCGAAACATCATTTGAATAGGCACTCGGCGACGGCTTTCTGCTTGAGCATTCGACCCTTTATGCGGTAAGTCATATAGCTGTAATGGGTGAGCCGCCATTTTCCTAGAATATTGATGAGCCGTGGGCACCTTTTGGATACCTATTTTGTGCGTTTGTGTCAAATTCTTAAAACATACGTGCAGGATGTCTTATTTTAATTCAAATATATTTTGTAGGGCGTTGAGGTTTACATGAATGCCGTCTTCACCATGTATTTAGCGGGCTCGGCGTACATTATTTGAGGGAACAATTGTCATGGTAAGTTGTCTAATTAAGTAAATTTCGTCATTAACATTTCCATTATCACTTTTAGGGGTCATGTTGCAATAGCAGTATTGACGGAACTTGCTGAGAGAGGACGGTCCAATTGGAAAAAAACAACTTGAGAAAATATAAGAGGTTTCCACATATTATTTGATCAATATTCACGTCCTTAGACAGATTTAATAATTGTGTTGAAACAAGCGCCGCAATCCACGGCCGCAATGGCGCTTGGAAGAGTGACGTAGTCGTTTGAACCATGTCGTCACTATCTCGGCAGCGTGTTCTTGGTTGGCGGGCCGACGACAGAAGATACAACGTGACTGAATTGACTGCGTCACTCTTTTAGGCGTCATTGTGGGCAAAGTCTGAGGCATTTTCTTTTTTTTTGAGCGCTAGTTTTAGTTGGGGCGAGAAAATGCGACAATTTTTCTATTAATTTATTCAATACCGTTTCCGTTTTTTTCTAATTATTTCAACTGACATGAACTCGAACGGTTATTACCTTCAATACTGCAATTGCATCATGTCCCCTAAAACTAAAATTAAAAAAAAACAACATATTTTAGTCAACAAGTGAACTTAATTTGGCGATTATGGGCTCATGTAATCTCCGGACAGCCTCGTAAATACATAGTTAAAACGGCACTCGTCTCATACCCCCTTTGAATATGTGTTCGAATTAAAATCGTCCACGTTATAATATAAATGCATGTATTAATGCGGCAAATAAATAACCATAGAAAAAGCAAAGGAAACGTCAACGCAATCAATGCGCAGTTATCTCTCAATCCTGAAATACTCATCTTGTATTTAGGAGGCACTTGGTTGTCATTTCCGGTCCTACTAATTTTACGTTATAGAAATCTTATGCTAAAATGTCTATGATAAAGGGGGGATATTCTCTGGACGTAATATTGTTAATTGTTGTTCGCAGGGCCTTTTGAAATTTCATACAATTTTTCACCTGCCAATCACAATAATCCTGACTGAGTGGAATGCAGCTTGAATGTCCAGAGTCGTGCATTCCTTAGAAATGATATACTTTTACTTGGCAAAAGATAAAGGAGAGCCAGTCCTGAAACTACGTTGCGACCAATGACCAACACTACGGCACCAAGTGAATACCTTTTAAAAAAAAGTACACCCCCTAAGGCACCCGCCAGAATCCACAGAGCATATTAAGCCTAAAAGGGCGAGCTGGTACTTGTATCGCGGCATGGATTGCTTCCTTCGAACATATTAACAGAAAGCAATTATTGTTTGTATCTTACACTTTAATTACTTTGACATGGTTTCAATGGTTCCTAACAAAAGTGCCGAAATCAAACTTACTCCAATTTTTATATCGTTTGCTGTCATGAGACATCATAAAATATATTCATATAAAAGGTGTGGCTAATAGATAACGAGACTGGTGCATAAAAAGTAATTCATTATTACAATTCTACAATATTTATGTTATCTCCTGGAACATACTTATCTCCGCTACTTATAAACCGATGCATGCAAATATACCATGTTTGGAGACAGTGGTGCAGATCACCATCTGTCAACCTCTTCAGCATCTTGCCCTTTTCTCTTTCATCTCGTACCCAATTGTTGACTTGCTGTTTTCATTCTCGGTGACGTGGGAATTTTCCCCGTATATCGACTGGTTCTTGACGTGACGCGACGTCACCCCATCAAGCGACGTGAGGTCATGTTGCACCACGACTTTACACCGAACGTTACAAGATCTAATAACGTTGACACCGTGAGGTCAAGTGACTCCCCAACTTCGTGCCGTCAGTCACTTCACATCATGACGTCGCCGAACCTGACGTCACGGAATTCTACGACGTTACACTGACTTCACCTGACCTAGCGTGGCCTGAGTCCTGACATGTAGTGACACAAGCACCGTGGGCCATAATGGCACCAACTACATGACCATGTAACATATAAAAACGATAAGCTAAATTTAGCCTGAAGCTAGTTCGCTATATTTAGTTTATGTCGTAAGGGTTTGGCTTCGAAAGCAGCGGCGCAGTAACTGCGGAAATCTCGGCTTCAGATGTGTTAAGAAGCATATCACATTAAGAAACCTGACCCTTCACTGTGCCTCCAACTTCACTATACCAACACAATTGTATGACGTATTTCCGTTCACTGAGGCAAACTTCAATAACAAGAATCGTTTGCTTGGAAACTTGAATTCGCTCAT